AGCGAATGACATAATAAATAAAAAGGGGAGTAATGTGACTAGGGCAAAGATTTATTACTGCCTCTTTCCGGATACATAGATGTGGTTCCAGACGTTTGATCGCCATCGCTTCGGCAAATTTAAAATGATTGGAGTTTGATTGTTTGTTAATCACTTTGAAAGACTAGTGTATCGACTTCATGTCCTGGGTCAAGGAGATGTTTTGAGATGATAATGATGAATATTTTTAATCCATTTATTCTTAAACTTTTCGGAATATGTTCTTTGAATCGGACGTAGGCTCTTCTTTCTGTTCTGCCAATGTAACTGCTTTGGCAGATACATGTAAATATGTATACACATTTGGTGGTAACATGAAAGGGATACCTATCAACCTTTGATTGTGTTAAAGAACATGTTGTTTTGGACAAGACAATCAGTTTACCTGCAGGATTAGTTGTTGTCAATGAAGGTTTTAGTCTCATATTGATTGACCCTGTGACATCATCACCTTTGGATTTAAGTTGAATAGAAATAGGTTTTCTACTTGTAGTTTCTTTGGGCTTTTTATCCTTACGTTTTCCATATTTCTCAATAAATTTCAGTGGGTATCCGTTATTTTTTAAACATCTTTTAACATTCATTACCTCCTCTTCTAGTGTATCGGCAGTACATGTTCTTTCTATTCTGTGAAAGAGTGTTTTAACAAGCGCCTTTTTGCTACCGATTGGAAGAACGTTATTGAAATTCAGATAAATCCCGTTCCATGTGTCTTTCTTATAAACTGAACGTTGAACTGTGACATCCTTCGTTTTATTGTAATATTAAGGTTAACTATTGTCAATAACTTCGTCATCAGGCTCTACAGTTATAAGTCCATAATTATTGTGTTACAGAGGTCAAAATAAGGCATAATATTGAATAAGACAACGTTGGATGTGTAAAAATGATGATAGACTTTTGCATTTGTTACGGTTTAAATGCTTTAAAAATATACTGTGGAATAGCTTTAAAATGTGGGAAAATAACAAAATTACAGGGGATTAGGAGTTTTAGCACCGGTAGTAAACTTTTTGGTGCTAAATATCAATAATTTAGACTGTAAATCATAGTACTATAATCCAGACAGACACTATATTCTAATCCTCTCTCTTCTAAAACCTAGCTCCTAACCTTAAAACTCTCAGACCGTAACCCCTAAACCGTAGATCCTAGCCTCAAAGCTTCTTAGCCCTAGCTACTAACACTGAAATACTGACCTTAACAGTTAACTCAACACCAGAATTACTACCCAATCCTTTCAAAATACGTAATATGATGAAAATCGTGAGTTCCAGCAGCAAGCTAACCACAACAGCGTTTTAAATATGCACATCATCTAGCCTAATTTTGATCTGTCGCCCAATGCCGTCGGTATTGTATGTTTTACTATATTCATTAATAATTTTGCTATTAAAAGAATTGCGATATTCAGTGTACATTCAAACATTCACGAGCATTCCCTGTCAATTCTATGTTATAAAGTAAGTCTATATACATTTGTTTGTACTTAGTATTACTGTCCAAGAATGATCAGGAAGCCAGATCGCATTTGGTGAATTACCTAACATCTCTTACTCATTACATTATCAAAACAGTTATTAGTCATTTACGGAAAAACTGATAAACCTTTTGTAATACTTCTAACTTTTCTGCTGATAAATTTTCAAAACGTAGCGGATTTATATATTGAGTGTCTCTCTTAAACAATCAAAAAGAGTTAATAACAAAGCATATCTATGCCTTTTCATTCAGCTACTAGTCAAGTGACTTCTGCTAAAATTAACAAGTGAATCGATATTGGCGTTTCTCATTACACCAGTATCTAGTATTTGAGTAAATAGACAATTCAGATTATCAGGAAGTTTTAATAAACTGTCCAATCAATTGATAAAAACCTATGAAGGACTTTTAAGTTATTTGATTTGTTTTCACAATTCCACTCATAATTAGAAATCTAACCAGTCCGTCTCACTAGCTAGCCAAGATTTTCAGTAGGCGTAAATTCATAATGTTCTTGTTATGATATGATATGTTTATCACTTCTTCTAGAAATTGATATCATATAGATACAAAAAGAAATATTTTGCTTGTTTGAACATGATCTAAAGGTTTTTAAAATGAGAGGAGAAACAAATATGTAGAAATGTCTAAAACAAATATGTAAAACAATTCACTACTAACTTCTTCACAAATTTGTTGTAAAATTCTGATAGATTATGAAGTCCCCTTAGGAATTCAATGGTAGAAATCATTTGTTCGAATCAGATTTACACTTGTTTGGTGTCATATTGAGTTACCTGTGTAATCACTTTTGAGTAATTTGATTATGTTCATTTCTCCATCTAAAGTATTGAGACGGACCAGCAAGAATTTACTCAACAATATAATATTTAGATTTCAGAGCTGAAGAATGGGTTTCCACAGTTTTAAACGTTTAAAAGCATTTTAAACATAGTTTAATTTACTGGTTATTTTAAATTTCTTTTGACATTAGGGAAACTATTGGTTATTTACAAATGAAACTAATAGAATTTTAGGCTAACAACACCTTGACTAAACACTTCAACTATGCAATATTAATTGAATTCTATTCATCATTTTGAGAAATCAACTTTCGTAGTCTGAAAAAAGTTTATATCCATAATATTTACTTTCTACGGTCAATTTGCATTTCTAAACAAGCGTCAGAATTCAGATCCTACTTCGTAAATGCAAATCTTACACGTTTACTGATGGAAAATATTTTTTCTCTGATTACAACGCATTTATGCGAAATCGCACTGTTGTAGTCATTCCGTTGATAAAAATTGATGTAGTCGGTTATGAAGGCTGTGTGTATGTTAATCCAATTAATAATTCATACTTATTAGTATTTTAATATTTAAAAAATACAGACCAAGTATTTGCTTTCATATGGTTCTTTTCTAAGAGCATTGATCAACTTCTGTGTTAGCAAGTATGCAACGGGCATTATATTTAATTAAACGTTCATCTCTTTATCTAGTAAGTGAACGAAATATTTCCATACATGTATTTAATTCTATCTAGTCATTTCTATCATTCTAAATTTCCAATTAAACCTGAAGTAATACAAAGTACATTGTGTAGTGACAAACATATTTCTTCGTTACTTTCTATCAAAAGACTTTTTTTTATAAAACGAAAATATGTATTCGATACAAGAAAATCAATCACTCTTTTTTTTAAGGAAAAACAATACAGAAATTTGGCAATTAACATTTATGTAATGTATATTGCATGATTTCAAAAACAAAAATAGATAGACAGAATAGAAACAAATAATACCTCAAAATGATACCTAAGTCATCGATACTAAAATAATGATAAAAATTTAACATAATATCTTTTCACATTTACCAGACATATCTTCCCCCCCCGCGAAAACTAAACTATTCGCCGGAAAAAAAAACCAACTTTATAAATCAAAATACAAACAGTCTGACCTTTGCCGGTAGAAATATATTTTTCTGAATCAAATAATTCAACCAATCATAAGTAAGATATGTTCAACGCATACTTTTTAAATTTTAACCAATCAAATATTAAATGTTGGCTTTAGTTATTACTGAATATAATGAAGAGAACACGTGTTAAACCTTGTGTTGTTAGTATATAGGCAAATTAATTTTTAATATATAACTTATATGAAATGAATCGAATGATAGTAAACTAGATATACAAAAATTTCATTATATTATTCATTGAAAATGCATTGAACAAAAAAAAGAACAATATTGTGGATGTATTTCTTATTATGTTTATAATGCTCAGGTTTATTGAAAAACAATTCAGGATATATTTTTGTATTTTACATTTATATATTGGTACTATATGGATATTTATTAATATCTGGTTATTTACTAATAATCTAGTTTATTCTATACCTTATCAATTTGGTGAATCTCTACAAATCAATGAAGCAGCGGTAAGTTATGTTTAAATAATCATATAATTTATAACATGATCCCGTTTTTTCTTTCCTGTAAGATTTAACTAGGTCTTCATTTATATTATCCTTATATCTGTTAATGTTGGTATACTTTTTATATGGACTTATATTTACAGGGTACTTTAAGTATAGTATGGGAGTTATACTGATAAAAGATGAAAAAAATTTGTTAATTCCTTATAATATGCAAGTTATTTCCATACGTTTTATATGTCTAATTTAATTTACTTGAGTTTGATTTAGTTTAGCTAAATGAAATATGTTTTACAAACATTTCTACATAGATTCATCAGTAATTAACTATTTATGTAGAAAAAGCGATCAATATATTATTTAAAGAAACTTGTTTGAATGAAAGATTGCGTAGAGAAATTCGTTTCAGATGACTATTTTTCCTCCATGTAATAAATGGTAACAATGTTAATTTATACAATGGACTTTGAATTTTCATTAAAAATTTAATTGAATTTGTTTACTTAGTTATTATGATTTCTACTGATTGTATGACTCATAACAATTTTATCCACCCTAAAATATTAAAAAGTGTCTAATAACTGAAGGGTATAAATAAATAGCATGTTGCTAACATACTGAAAAGTCGTAGCATGAAAATATCTGGAGTGTAGTTCAAATAAATTTCACTGATTTTACAAATATAAAAAATATCTTAAGCCTATATTACTAGTCATGCTGTAAAGGTATCTCATATTAAATTGTTATGTTGTAAAAACAAATACTGACTGAGTATAATCCAGGACTTTTGTCATACAATATGTTTTACTTAATGAAATTAATCGATTTTTCATCTTTGAATAAAATTATTTCAATATAACACATTATTAGTAAGGGTTTAGGTTATTGTTGGTATCCACGTCAATACAGCTGACGAGTTTTAAATAAAATGAAAAGCCCATACTAGATCCTATTGGTAGCCACGATCTATCTATCCTACATGTCTATGCGTGTGATTTACGTTTAATCATAGTTAAACACATGCAAGCATATATATTGAAATAAGATTTCCAAGCATTTGACTTCAAATTGGAATAAATAACTATCATAAAGAACACTGACATTCACTTCTCTGTTAATTCACATGGGAGGAAAACTTGGATAACAATAGAACTCAATACTCTGTGGTTGATATTTTTTGACCGATGTAAAATCCTTGTTAAACAACTACTGTATGATATGAATAGTGAATGAATTGAAAAAAATATTTTTCATCCTTATTTAACGTGATGTTCACCGTTGTACATTAAGTAATATTGTCTGTCTATCTATCTTTCTATTTCACGTTATATGTACATAAGCTGTATTAAACTACTATTAAGTAGTTTGGATTTGTTAACGGTATTTATATGCACTGTAAAATTTTAATTAATTCCCAGTAAGTTAATTAAAACATGATAGTATTCTTTTCATTTTATTTTGTGAATATTAATTAAATTTTCAATTGTTTTTTAACTCTTAAGCATTGAACTTCTTAAAACTGGATAAGTAATCAAAGTCAAGGAAATACATGTCTCACATTGACCATGATATCTTCAGACCATTAAGTTGAATTCTAACGATCTACGTTTCTATCTAGAATCAATTCGTGTTATGCTACTACGACTAATCCTTACTTTTGATGCTCACTTTCCCACTCCTCAAAATATTTGAACTTCATTATTCATGACTCCTTATTCAAACGTTAATTAGATGCTTTATCCTAATATCCAGTTATATTTATAAACATAAAATTAGTCAGGTCAATTTATAACTCACCGATCATATCAATGTGCAATACACAACTAATAAAGACTTCATATATAGATAATCACATTTATATTTCACTAAATAAAGCAGTCTATTGCAGAATATCATTATAAAAAAATCACTTCAAGTTGTTTTACGATGAGGGATTTAAAGAAAATTATAAAATGAGATCAAATCCACAAGTTATTGATTTATACTTTCCTTATGGAACCAATCCGTTTGACTGGATTGACGATTTTGAAGGAAATGTCTGCTAGGGTTTTGTGATCAAAGTTAAGATGTTCCGGCATAAAACTACTGATTGTTTTACAAATACTCGTACAAAGCCATGCAGGATAATGTTCGTAGATGCTTTTGTTACAGACTCTAATATTCTAATCAATTGAGAACCTAATTTTAAAAAATACTTAATTAAAGTTTAAAAAATATGAAAGAGTGACATGCATAGCTAATTATGAATAAACTAAGTGTATTCAGTGCCTCACTGAATAAGGATTATTACAAATAGAACAATACTTCAGCGGCCTTGTATCTGATTCCAGTTAGATCGTATGCTGATTGTCATCGTAATATACATCCCGGCTGCTCTCGTCTATAATCATCGACTTAACTCGCGTTAGTGAATAACGGAAATAAATAAGTCAAATACGAGAATAAATTTCGAACACGTATATTTTACACAATCGTTGATCTCGACATACAATTAGGGAAACAAAGTAAAGGTAGTGAAGAGGAGAGAGCAAAACAAAACAAAATGATGCACAATGGAGACGGCGTGTGGCCGACTCTTTTATTCAAGCGTAACTCGATATCTATAGTTTAACAAAAATAAGTTGCAGACAGATGATGAATTGAGTAAGTAATTAGCACACATACGATCATATAAAAAAGCAATCGGAATTAATAACCGAATAAGTGATAGGGTAAGAATGTGACTTGAGAAGAATGAGTAGATCGGTCTGTACAGAGGCTAGAATAACCTATGTGGGCTTAACATAATACCAACCCCTACAAGACTATCACATGTGTTAAATCGTCTAGTAATACCATATTCTAATTTCTTTAATGTTATCTGACTAATTTTAGATTGAATTTTTATTCCTAAATAAATTTAGTACAGAACTCAACTAATGTTAGCTTCCACTTTACACCTATTTCATGAAATACAGTGTTTGTTTACACTTAGAAACATTGGAATATTTAATAAAGACCAAGATGGATTGGATGCACAGTTATTATGAGTCATTATTTTTGCCATTATCATAGATTTGTTTCAATATACTGTTTTTTTAATATTTGCATGTGTTGTTATGGTAACATGATAACTCCCTTCGTCATGCGTTTTTTTTCTCTCCCTCTAAGTTAATCTATTCACTAAGATATTTTATTATTTGAGTAATATAAAGAACAGTCGGGTTGGTTGATACAAATACCCTTATTATTTAATAAATAATTCAAATTTATTTTTCTTTTACGGGAAAAAAGTAATCAATTTTTAATCAATAGATGGAATTAACTAGTTCATTGAAGAATTGCATAGATTATAGTCTTTCTTCAAAAAGAGAGTTGAAATTTTGTAACCGACATAAATTATTCCATGTAGAACTTCAGTTAATTAATTAATCTATTGTATTTATTATTAGTTGTTTATTGAATGCTTTAACATTCAACCATAAATGACATTATTATTATCGTTAAATATTTATAAGTGGATTGTACGAACCTCTGGTTATGAATTTAATGATAGTGAATATAAATCAATTTGTCCTGTTTACAATTTCAATGTAAATTCTATGCAATTTATGAATCCAATTGATTTGATTCTAGTGTCCTAAAGTGAATGATACAATCAATGAATTACGTAACATTATACTGATCTCTTCCAATGTATGATATATATGCTGTACTGATTAAATTTACTCGATAAAATAAATAGAATGTGATGAGTTAGCTGAATACCATGACAAAAATTTTTATCGCATTGTTCAATTTGTATCATGGAATTGCTAGAATCCGCATTGTTTACAAGTAATTTCTTTCATTTATTTTACTTAATGTTACATGCAGTTAAGTATCTAGGCTGTTAGTAAATTACACTGTTCATTTTAACAGTTTAAGACAAAACTGAGATTTTATTTAGTGTGTTTAAAAGCGTAACGGTAGACTTCAGTAATATAATACAAAATAATTAAATTGTTCCTCAGTACTTTTTATTTGGTTGCAACGACACAGGTGATGAGAACAGGTAGTACCGAAATTCTAAAATGGTTGACAGGTGTAATTTACCATAATAAATAATTTAAATTGATGTGGTGGAACGTATTCAACTTTGTGCTCAGGAAAATTGCCTTTTTTATATTATCCTTTGTGTCTGCAATTTTATAACTTCATAATTTGATTTTGAGTTGTCTTTGGTTTGATGTCACTTATAATCAAACATGTAGACTTGAAACTGATTCAAGAATGGAAAGAAACAGTTATCCACTGATCAGTAGCTTTTATTTCCCTAGTTCTTATTGTCTACTCCATTAACTACATGTTATAATACTACTTGTAAGTAGTAAAATAATAATTTCCACAATAGGTCTCACTACTAAATCTACAAATTTATTTCTAATTTTTTTCTACCTCCACTAATTTTCCCTATTTTTCTCTGCATTGTTTAGTCTTTGTTCTACAAAAACGTTAATATTTCTTTAAAAGTCCTGAACCATTATTTCAGTTGATTTTATGCATCAGAATTCGTGTTATTTGCGATATATTACTTATTGAAAATAAGTACAACAGATTCTATTGGTTAAATCAAGATACTCTAATATGTTAGTTTGTTAGTTTGTAACCAAATTAATTACGTTATAATCAGCATGATATCTAACACTAATCAGTAGATACTAAAGTTAGTACTTCCTATCAATATTGTAAGAAGGGAAATTCGTGTGATAACCAAAACTGTACATTCAGTTGTAGTGATAAATTTTCATGTAAAATCAAATCAAAGAATGCAAGTAGTATGGATAAAAAAATGAATGTCTGAATATAAGTCATAAATCCATCAAAAATGTTATCGAAAACGTCTGCACCTTTGGACATGACTCAACTCAATAGCTGATGGCCTTATGATTCCACTGGATTTAATCCATCCATTACATATAGTCAGTAATGTTCAAGAATGTCCTTATGTAGGACTGGTCTGCAGTACACATCTATAACTCCATCAGTGATTAAACTCAGAACCTTCGGTCTTGCACACAAATGCACAACCTCTAGACCAATGGTCCAGTGCTCTGTGGTTTATAAGTCTAGCTTCAGTCGGTTTACTAGAGTGTGCAAATATCTTCCGTTGTGTTCATTGAATACATTCCTCATACCGGGCAGGGTTGATCTCTACTAGAACTATGGGAATTTTCTCTCGAGTTTGGTCACCAGTGAGTACTCAATGTTTATCGTGTAGGGGACTTGTGGAGATTATTGAATATTGAATGAATCTCTACAACCTCTTTATAGTTATTTTTCTGAAACAAAATATACTTTTAGTTAGTTATAATGTGATCTTAAAGGCAATGAACGATTTCATAACGGAATCTTTATACACTCGATTTTTGGTCGAACTTCCCAACATAGATATGCAAAACAAAATAAAAATTCTTGGTTTATTTGTCATTATATATACATATATATATATATATATATATATATATATATATATATATATATATATATATATATGTATCCTCACCATTTCCTTCTCAGTAAAATAACCATAAATTACGTAGTTAACAAATCGGCCAAATCTATAGATAGAATACTTTTAATTTTTATGATTATACTTTTTTAAGGATGTAGGTGGTTGACCATATTTGGTTATTTGCATTTATCATGCTGACTCACATCTTAAAAAGCAAATATATTTTATGACACATAAGTGAATACAGTTGGTTAACATAAAAATTATCAATAATTATAAAAGAGTAATTTGAAGGTAATTTTTGTTAAGAACTAATACTAGTTAGAGAATCACTAAACATCTGTCCTGCACTGGTTTTGGAACTGTTTAACGGTTCCCGTTCAAGAATGTCAGGAACCAGTAGTTCGTAGCTCATCAACGAAGTCAGATGAGGATTTTAATGCATCATATATAAGTTACCGACATTACAGAACACACAGTTGAATATAAATTCACTATCTTTTATCAGATTCTTATATATGATTATAAATTGTCATGAGAATATAATTTTAATTCGACACTGGTTTTCAATGCCTACACATGAATAATAACCCTTTATAATGAAATCTTGCTTCATGTATGAATAAAATATATCGTTCTGTTTAAAGAAATAATACGGTTAAACACTGATTATCCTGTTTAATAACCATGTAGAGTTATCAGTTATAAATAACCTTAAGTTACTTCACACTTTTCATGCATGTGACATTCCAAAATCCGTTAATCAGATCACAAACTTTTGTATTAGTTATCAAGTCACAGTATATCGATATTTTTATACAACGTTCTATCATAATTGAGCTAAAATTCATATATTCTTAATAAGGGATGTACTAGTAAAATATTTTGACTTTTAATCTAACATGTCGACGAATAAAAACCCACACGTACCTCTTACAACACTC